AATTCTCCCGCTTAGCAAGACAGAATTTCGTGTGGACGCCTCCATTTAATTCTTTTAGACATTGGTTCTGATACCTCATCCTGCAGGTTCCAGAATTTCCAAAAGCAGTTCTTCGATTGTACTTAACTGATTTTTTTTTTTCTGAATTGTTCTCTTAACTATACTGAAAGAATGTTATTAGAATGTGAAGATCCAAGTCACTTACTTTAAATCCTTCCTGTTTAATTTTTTTAGTAGGGTGAGTTCTTGAGTAGGTCCTTCTAGATGTTGTTTGTTTACTTATGAGCATGGCTAGCAGATGACATCAGGTTAGGAGCTTTTGCTTGTGGCCAGTGAGACTTAACATGAATGTGCTTTTTTTTATAGTGCAGCTACATACCAGTAGTGTGACATGAGATTCTTTCTATGTGGTGAAAATGACATGGATGGAATAACTTAACTGTATTTCCGGCTCTCCTTTTTTTCCTTTAACCAGAGGAAGGAAGTGAAAGGAGAGAATAACTCTTCAAATCCTGTGACTCCAGTCAAGATTCCTGATTGTCCAGTGCCTGCTGCCTTACTGGAAGAACTGTTGAAACCATCGACAGCTGTGAGCAAGGAGCCTTTAAAAAATCTGAACAGCTGTCTTCGGCAATTGAAGTATGACCTTTTATTTTCAACCATATTAAATAATCTTAAAAATGTTTCCAAGAAACCAGCTGCCAGCCTAAGGAAAAAAGGATTTGTAAAATGAATTCTTTTCCTCTTATTGGGACTATATTTAGGACAGTAGGATGTTCTGTCATTGTAAGTGCTTGCTTGTACAGTAATGAAATAGGGAAAGAAGCCTTTAAATTTGTACACAGCAGAACAAACCAGAAACAGCTATTTCTGGTTGTTCTTTCTGGTGGAAAAGCTGGTGGTTCTCTCTCTCCACAGCATCAGAAAGGCTGCTTGTGATAGAAGCCCAGGCAGTGTGTTAATGAGAAGTCTCTACAGAGGAAGTTCATTCTGCCAAAAATAGGTTTTCAGATCTTCCCTTACAAGGTTGCACGTGAGATTCTGAGCAGGACAGCTGCAACCTCAGGAAGATGGGGAGTTCAGGTTATTAGGAGAACTGAGCTGCTGTTACCACCTTAGTTGATGTTTGAGGAGACTGAGCCTGTGATAACGTTCTGTGATCCTATACTACTAGACTAGTTGCTTTGCTAGCTTGGTGTCTCACTAATGTCATAATGCATTTATCTAGTGATTTTTCTGTGCTGCTTTCCTCACCTCTACTTCCCATGTTGTCTTTTATACCTGCAAGAGTACCACATTCACCAGGTTGCAGTCACTAAGTGCCTTTACTGAGGAAACCGTGCTGCATCATCCCTGGCAATAAGTATGTGCAGCAAAGGAGCTGCTGCATTGTTGGCCCTTATTTTTGAATTAAGCATATTTTATTTGCTTTGCTCTTAAATTAAAGAAGGATAATTCCTAAGCTTCCTGTAGACTACTTTCTCTTGTATACAGCTATAGCTTAGTCTTGGAGTAGGTTTTCTGCTTGTAAATTTTTTTCTTTTTTTTTTTTTTTTGTTCTCAACACTTTCAAAAGGCAAGAAATGGACAGCCTTCAGCGTCAGATGGAGGAACACACCATTACAGTACATGAATCAATGTCCTCGTGGACTCAGATTGAGGGACAGCTAATGGACCTTACCTCTACCGGTCCTGCAACTGCGTCAGACCAGCAGGAGGTTCCTACTGTAGATGAAAAGAAAGAGAATTGTAGTGTTAGTGACAAGGAAGCTTTGACGCTATAACCTCCTTATCAGTTGTCTTTCTTCCTATTGCTTTAAGTATGTAAACAAATCTTTATCAAAATTATTTATTTATTTCATTTTCAAAAACGGTGTTCAGAGTTGTGCTTTTGCCTATAGAAGCAAAGGTCATGGTTTGAGAAACTGGTGTGATTAAATGCAGATCATGCCATTCCACGGGTTTGTTTCAAACCTTACCATAATAATTCTGTCATGTTGGGGACTGCCAAGTGGTAAATCTAGCTGATTTTGGGGTTTAGTAAGAGATTCAGATGAAAGCTTAAAAATGAGGTCAAGATGAGCATCTGGTTCCAGGTCTGTATTTGTTCAATCTGGGTGAGGTTAAGGAACGACTGTTAATTATGTAACATCTGAATTTTGGTGGTGGGTTGTTTTTTTGTTGGTTTTGTTTTTGTTTTGTTTTTTTTTTTAATTTGGGGGGTGGTGGTGGTGTGTGATGTTTTCCCCCATCTTGGGTTGTATCCAATTCACAGGGAAAAATAAGTTCTGCTCATGTTCAGCCATTAGCAGTGGTTAAGAACTGGATATTCTGAGCATCCTCTCTCCTTCCTCCTATAATCTCTTATTCTTGAAATTCAGATTACAGATATCTGTATTTAAAGAAAAAAATTTCATTTGAAGCCATTTTTAGTTATAAAGATGGCCTCTGACCTATAGCAAGAGAAATAAGACCGTAAAGACAAGCAATGCAGACAAGAATGTATCTTTGGCAGATCTGCCTGGCTGTTTTCTGAAGTATCAGTTTTTCTCTTACAGTCGCAGGCCAGTAGGGAGCTTTGCTTCACTGCACAAACACTTGTTGCACCTTTTTAGTTCAACTTTTGAAGTAGACACCCTTGAAAAAGGTATGCGTGTAATATATATATATATATATAAAAAAAAAATAATAATTTTCTGATTTTGAATCTCTGTTTTAATATGCTTATGTATTTTAAGTTAAGGTTGACAAGGGGTTTTTTGTTGCTGTCATTGTTTTAATGTTACATTTAAGTTTGCTGGTTTTGGACATACTGTACAAATGGTTTAGGGAAATTAGCCCCTAAAGCCAGAGCTTTTAGAAATGTAATTGTTTTTACTTTAAAAGACAAAATTATAATGCCTATAAAATTATTCTTTTTATTAGCTTTATCTTTTTCCCCCACACTTCCTCTACTTTTTGCACCCTGTATTACAAGGTGTCCACCAAGAATGGAAAGGTTGGTACTGTGGCAGCCCCTCTGCAGAGCATGTTGACTAGATTATTACTAAAGCAGCCCACTTTAGACTCCTTCACCTTTGGTCCCGTTGCTCCATGTGGCTCATAGTGCAGCGAAAAGCCTGCCCTCTCCTCATTCTAAAATTCACTGGGGAGGTACTGCTTCACCTAATGTGCTAAGTGCTAAAGCACAGATCAAAATATATGTGACATTTTGGAAGACTTAGTGGCAACTCATATACTAGAATGTTTCTGTCTGTAAAACATAAAGGAAGCAGGTCAATTATATGCACTGTCGTTCGGTGTTTGAAAACCCCACAAACGTACAAGTAAACTAAGTGGCTGGGGAAAAAACAAAAATTCTAGTTCATGTATTTTTCCAAAGATGCTGCTTTTGGATGGGTTTGGTTGTTTGGAGGGGTGGGGAGCAGGCAATGATTGCAGTTTGCTTAGCAGTAAGGCAAAAAATGAGCAAACAAACAAAAAACCCCAAACCCACCCATATTTATCCAAAGTCTGATTTTTCATAGTTACCAATTCAAGCTCAGTCAAAGTCAAACACTTTGCACTTGAAGTGTCTATACTGACTGATCACATGCCCCTTAGCTACTGGACATTAACTTACATTTTACTGGGATCAAAGCCAAGCGATGCCAGAAGCCAAGGTTTTGAAATTGGTGAAGGAAGAAATGCATTAGTGTGGCATTAGGTGTCCATCATACAGAACTAGCAGACAATTCAGAGAAAAGTCAAAAGCTTCACAGACTAGCTTAGGTATGTTAGTATCTGCATACTGCTGCCGTCTACTTTATAGAGTAAATGGTACTGATTATCTCGCTGCCGCACGTTCTTGAAGTTGCCTGTATATTAAGCTCAAAGAAGAAAAAAAAATGCAGTATTGTTAAAGAACAAAATTAAAACTATGTAACAAATAATATTCAGTATAAAAAAGTTATCAAATGTTCAGGATTTTAAATAAAATAACACTTGTGCAGCGTTAATGTTGCTGTTCATTATAGTAAATACATTGCCTACAGTTAAGAATCCATTCTGTTTTAATCTCTTAAGTTTGGCAACAGTTCTATGGATAAAGGTTTTATTTGGTATAAAAAAAGCCAGAATTGTTAGAAACTTTCATAGTTCTTCAGAGTGTCTGCTCTCCCTTTTTGTATCAATAATCATACTGTGTTGTTCTCAGTGGAGCGCTGTATTTCCTCACTAGCCCGTTGCAAACACATCTGAGTTACACAATCAAGTAGTGTTAGTTGCGTGTTTTGCCTTTTAAACATGAGGGAACTGTTGTGAAGTGCTCAGATTCGATTTCTGCATTGACCCACCTGTCTGTCGCTGAAAGTACCTGGACAGCAGGTATTTTCATTTTACATTCACTGTGTGTTTTTTCTATAAACAGAGGAACCATGCCATTTACTTAAGTGAAGGACAGACAGTGAGACTTGAGGGTCTTAAATCTGGTGAGGTACTAAGTCAATTAAGTTACCAAAGTCACTGGGAAGCCTTCTAGAAGCAGCATGCAGCATGTGATAAAAGCAAGGCCTTTTTGAAGCTCATCAGCTATGTTTCTTAATTATCCAGAGAAATAGTTGCTGTTTTATTAAAAAGCCTCACCCTGAGGCTGAGCATGCTCGCTCTACAAAGCTTCAGGTCTGCTGTCTAGGTGATAAAATAAACTAGTTGTAGGAATGAAAACTGCCTCCCCTCTGCTTGTCACAACACTGACAAGTACATCAGAGGAAAAGCTGAAGAATGATCTCTTAAAGATTTTTTTTTTTCCTTTTCCTTTTTTAAGCACTGCAATAGAATGTATTTTCTGTGTCTGTTTCTTCAGTGGTTGCTACCTGCTAAACCAGGTTTTGTTGATGAAGGAGAAATGTCACTGTAGTGTGAGAAAGTTTCCCAACTGATGAAAGTTAGTAAATGCTGCTGCAGCATTACTTTTTCATATGCTGTTGGGTTTTTGAGGACTCTTGAATAAGTGTCTTATTTAAAACAAACAAACAATGAAAAACCAGCAAACCCTACAATGGAAAAAAGTGTTAGTTCCTGAGTCGCTGGTGTTGCTGAACGTTGCATAATGCTCCATTCTATTGTCTTCCAGATTTCTTGGAAATATTTGTGCACTGTACTGGGATCAGCTGAGCCCCTTATCCACTCGTGCAATGGGAGGATCTGATCCCATACTGTTTATTCAGGCAATATCTGAGCTGAAACCTGTGAGAATTTCACTACTCTTCACCAATGTAAAGAGTAGAGTAATATCCAGAATTAAAGTTCTAGTGCTCATATTTTCATGGATTACTTATGCCTCTTTAGGGGAGTACAGGGAGTGGTGTGGGTGTTTTAATGTTAGCTATGACAACGTTAAAGGTACACCAGAGACAGGTAGTATCATCGATACAAATTTAACTTAAAGATGACAAATTCACTACTGGTGATGCAAAAGCCTGTGATGTATGTTTTAACTTCGCTGGGGAAGTGTTGAATAGTTGCACATAACTTGCTGTGACCAGAGCCTTTAAATATTTTCATGTGGAAGCAATTAGAGCCCAAAGTAATTACTAATGCTCATCAGCTGTCATGTGATCACTCTTGTCTCCTACCACTGTGTAACACTTCAGTCTTGGGCAGTAGGGCAGCCTAATTTCCAATACAGATGCACCGATTTCTGGGGGAGGGAAGGATGTTCTGGATATTGTAAATGAAATATTGTTATGTTTTATACATGACATTCAGTAATGTCTGCTTAGGCTGTATTTGTAAAGGTAGAAGTTAATCATTCATGTTCTTGAGTGGATAACCCAGGGGATGGAGGAGTTACACTATGTACAATTACTGTTTATGATCATACAAAGCATGTTGATTATAAAAATAATGTGCATAGGAATTCCTTTAAAAGTTTTGTGCAATAAACTATTTTTGGTAAAGGGCTCCATGTTGTTTCTACTTTTAAAGAGAAATTGACACCATCTTCTCTCTGGTTTTGGACACTAATTTTATGTTTAGGATGCTGAACATGCTGTATAGCCACATTTAAGGAAAAACCCACCCTGTTTTGAAAGACTGTTTTATTGCATCTTGATTTTTTTCACTTATTTTTCACACATCTAAAATTTGTGTTTCCATTACATTTACTTTTTCTCAGTTTACAGAACGTGGGGGAAAGAAAAGTAATGAGTGTATCTCCCTTGGCCTGAATTTGCCAGCAGCTGAAGCCTGACAGTACAAAGCGGAACAATGCAGAAATGTCATCTTGGTCCTAAATTAGCCCATGGCGGTGACGAGGAGAGAAATGCCCGCACCTTGCTTGTACTATCGAACACTGGGCGTCGGAGGGAGGTTGTCAACAGCTTCTTGCAGCCCTGCCCTTTCGTCTCCGCCTTTAAACCAGTAACGGGCCGGTTTGCTTCCACTTCAAGCAGCTGTACCCGTCCGGTAGTGACGTCGTATCGTACCCAGCGGGGCGCGAGCTGAGGTCTGTGAGGGGACGTGCTCCCTTCTGACGCGCGAGGGCCTGCGGCCCTTCCTGCTGCTTGCCCGGGCCTCCTGCAGCGCTTGGAGCTTTCCGGAGTATCACCGCCCCCGCCGGTACCGAGC